TAAAAAGTGCTAATGATCATCTGAGCTGTTAGGATTTTCTTGTTTTTTGTTTTTGTTTTTGGCAGAGAGTTTTGCCTCCATGTTGATGGCTGCAGACTGATTAAGGTGGTAGTTGCTGAAGGTCGAGGTGGCTATTGGAGTGGTATTTCTTTCTAAAATTGGAGTCAGTCTTCTCAAACACTGGCTCTGCTTTGTTAGCAAAGTATGTAATATGAACTGTCATTTCAACAGTGTTCACAGCATCTTCACCAACAGTCCATTCCAGCTCAAGGAACTACTTTCTTTGCTTGTCCATAAGAAGCAGTCCTTATCCGTTTAATTATGTGATTTCAGCAATTCAACCATATCGCCAGGCGCCACTTCTAATTCTAGTTTTTTAGTTATTTCCACCATGGCTACAGTTCCTTTCTCCCCTGAGGATTTTGAACACCTCAAAGTCCTCCATGAGGGTTGTTATCAGTGTCTTCCAAAGTTCTATTAATGTTGCTATTTTCACCTCCTCCATGAATCACAAATGTTTTTAATGATATCTAAAGTGAGAAGCCCTTTCCAGGAGATTTTCAATTTACTCAATGAAGACCAGCTATCTGTGGGCACTACATAGCCTTACAGAATGTATTCCTTAAATCATAAGACTTAAAGTTGAAATTATTCCTTGATCCATCATCTGCAGATTGGATACTGTGTTAGCAGGCATGCAAACAACATTAATCTCCTTGTATATCGCCATCTGAGCTCTTGGATGGCCAGGTACAGGGTCAATGAGCAGTAATATTTTGAAAGGAGTCTTCCTCCCCCACCCCTCCAACAGTAGGTCTCAAGAGTGGGCTTAAAATATTCAGTAAACCATTCTGTAAACAACTGTGCTATCTTCTAGGCTTTGTGCATTGTTAGATCACAAGCAATTTGACATAATTCTTAAGGACTTGAGGATTATCAGAGCAGTAACTGAGCACTGTCTCAACTTAAAGTCCACCAGTTGCATTAACTCTTAACAAGAGAGTTATTCTATCCTTTGACACTTTGAAGCCCATCATTGACTTCTCTCCAGCTGTGAAAAGTCCTAGATGGCATCTCATTCCATTAGAAGCTTGTTTCATCTTCACTGAAAATCTGTTTAGTGTTGGCAGCCTTCATCAGTTGTCTTAGCTGTATTTTCTGTATAAGTTGCAGCTGCAGCATCTGCCCTTGCTGCTTCACCTTGCCCTTCTGTGTTATGAAGGGGGTTTCTTTCTTTAAACCTCATGAACCCGCCTCTAGTAGCTTCAGACTTTTCTGCCTTGTCCTCACCTGTCTTCTCAGAATTGAAGAGAGTTAGGGCCTTGCTCTGGATTAGGCTTTGATTTGGCTTAAGGGAATGTTCTTGCTGGTGTGATCCTCTAGCTAGACCTCCCAAGCTTTCTTTGTGTCAGCAAAAGGCTGTTTCACTTTCTTGTCATTCACATGTTCACTACATTAGCACTTTTAATGTTCTTCAAGAATTTTTCCTTTGTATTCACAGCTTGGCTGACTGCTTGATGCAAGGCACCTAACTTTCAGCTCTCTAGGCTCTCAACATGTCTTCCCCACTAATCTTAATTATTTCTCACTTTTGACATAAAGTGCAAGATGATTGTTCCTTCCACCAGAACAGTGAGAGGCCATTGTGTGGTTATTAATTGGCCTAGTGTCAAAATGGTTGTGTCTCAGAGAATAAGGAGGGTCCAGGAGACCAGTGGATTGGTAGAACAATCAAAACACACACATGGTTCATTGATGAAGTTCCCTGTCTAGTATGGTGTGATTCATGACACTCCAACATAATTACTATAGTAATATCAAAGATCCCTTTGATGATCATAGACCATCATAAAAGATATAATTATGATGAAAATGTTTGAAATATCACAAGAAATACCAGAATGTGATGCGGAGATATGAAATGAGCACTTACTATTGGAAGATTCATCAATAAACATGCTCAGTATGGAGTCACCACAAACCTTCATTTTGTATAATGAAAACACAGTATCTGGGAAGTGCAGTAAAATGAGGAGAGGTGTGCCTATTCCTGTGTATATCACTGTCTGTTTCCATATAATTTTTCACTTGTTTTGAAACTATCATCTGACTCATTACTTGCTTGCTGCTGCTTGTTTACCTAGTTTAGCCAGACTCAACTAATACTAATGAAAATTTGTCTTACTATCAATAAGTAGTTATAATTTAAATATCTTTTTATGTATGTTGATGAAATTTTAATGCATCTATTTTTAAGTATTTAGTGGTATGCTACACACAATGCTAGTTATTGTAGAGAGCCAGATAAAGGAGTCAAATAATTCCTTCCCCTTGTAGAGCTCTCAGCTCTGGAGATTCATTATCATATCACTGGGTGAAACTAAGGACACACTTTAGTAACACCAGGAACAAGTTGCTGAGAAACTTTAAGTTAGAGTTTTTGAAAGGTAAAAAGAACACAGGTTATCCTTAACCAAGAGTGCTAAGTTGGAAAACGGGTAGGAGAAAAAAACAAACAGAAATTCATACTTTGTCTCTCTGGGGCACATTAATCTGTGTTAAATCAAGATTGTCCTAGTGGCAGAAACATAGACTTTAATTAAGGGGCAAGTTTATTTTTATTTTGTGTTCTAGTGCCTAGCAGTATGAAGTTGCAAAGTCTGTAGTATAAAGCTGAAAGTAATTACTAGTGGGAAGGTTTATTTTGAGGGCCAAAGGGGATAAACCACCACATTTATCCTACTTGTTTGCTATTAACATTTTAATTTGTAAATTGGCATACACTGTGATTGGGCAAAACTTCCATCCAGGGCAGTATCCTGTTTACAGTAGGAGGCCACCCTCGGTGTTTCCAAGAGACACTGTGCTTTCCTTTCTGGCCCGGTTTGCTTGTATGGCCCTCTTAAAGTTTTGTGATGCAGATCTGTACCAGTTATCTCTCCTTCACTTGCTGTTAGGGAACTAGCCTCTTACTAATAAAGGTCTCATTAAGCTGTATGAAATTGTGCTACCAGGAACTTTTAAGTACTGTCCAAGGAAGAAGAGCATTAGATGATTTATATACTGAGTGCTTACTCTAGAAGCCTGTACTGGATTACCTTAATTTATTTTCATAGTAACTCAGTAACCCTATGAGGTGGATATTTTCTCTCCCTCCATTTTATAGATGAGAAAGAGGCCCAGAGACTGAGAGTGCAGTTTCGTCTCACAGGGTGTTTTAGGTGTCAGGATGCCATTTCTCACTACGATAGGTATGTCAGAAGCCATCTAAAGCCATGAGTCCTGACCCTTTAGAGAGCAAAGATCTTTGCACAATTATTTCACTAAAACTATTGGGGGATTTTGATGTTGAAGTGTGAAAAACCTGAAAGGGGGAGGATCGTAGCAGAAGACAGTGTATTCACTGGAGGGTACGTCATGGTAAGTGTGACTCCTGCAGCTGTATACACAGTAGCTGTTGAGTAGGAGTAAGAGCCTTCTGACTTCCCAGCCAGACTAAAGATGTCTCCGGTTATTTTTCTACTGAATGAGAAATTCTTCAACTTGGATGCCAATACAGTAGTCTGTGTATAACAATATGCATATTGTTATTTATAAATACATGTATATTTATTAATTCTTGGTAGACAGGGTGTGAATAAAGGATATCTGTGATTAGTTTTATTTGCTAATCTGAATTTCTTAGTAAAAGGATGTTTAAAAAAAACCAAAAACCCTAGCACTAAGAAAGTGACTGGTGTAAGTGAATCTCTGGGCTTCCACTGTGGTAAAAATGCTCACATTCATGGGGGGCACCTGCAGCTCAAGGAGTAGGGCGCCCGCCCCATATACCGGAGGTGGTGGGTTCAAACCCAGCCCTGGCCAAAAACTGGGGGGAAAAAATGCTCACATTCAGAGTCAATGAAAAGAAAATGGAGAAACAAGGAGCTTGGGTTGATCCCTATGCACGACTGACCCTAAAGTAACTAAGAAGTAACTGTGGAATTAGCTGGCTTTTTTACTCTATAAGATCCTTTAAAATATTGTTTGAAGGATGACATGAGATAACAGATTTGAAACCACGTTACTTTGCAAACTAAAAATCATGGGGCATGTGCAGTTAATTAATGAACATCCCCTTTCCCCTTTTCATTCATGCCTGGCTCCAGCGCTCTTCTTTCTCAGTCGTTATCACTCTCTCCCTGATGACCTGACCTCATGCAGCAGAGAGAAGGGCCACACTAACCAATTTTCCAAATGTTTGCATACACGGTTAAGTTACACAGCTTTGGTGTCCTCCCCTTTGTACTTGGAGAAATTTTAAAATCCTCTGTTTCTTAGTTTGTTTCACTCAGATTTGCTCTTTTTGATCTCACAAGATCTATTCTTCTTCCCTTTCTTCCCTTCTGTCTCTTCATTTTTGCATCTTACATATGACTGTCAGCAGGTGCCAGTGGTGGACTGGTTGGTCCTGTGTCTTTTGCATAGTAGATACTCGAAATGTCTGTGCTCGTTAAGTGGCTGAAATAAGGAAAAGGGAACAGGTAAGTTGTAAGGGTTTTTCTCTTTCAGTATTACAAAGAAATGTGTTGATTTCACCCGAATTTGGAAATCTTCTCTATTCAAGAACTTGAGCTTATGAGATCTCAACTATTTGCCTTAAATCTTGTTGTTTCTCCTTGTAACGTAACAAGGCAGAACACAAAAACTACTTAGGAGTGATGTTCTTTTGAAGTACTCGAAAATCTTTTTTACCCTTTAGGCATTGTATGACTTCATCTCTGTTACATCATCTAGGAGATGAGGAAATAATTCTTCTGTGAAATTCTCTGAAAGTAATATTGAATTCCCAAGTACCAACATAGAATACTACCAGTCCACGTTTACTCTGAGAGCCTTGATGATGGCTGTTTTCAACCAGTTTATTTGTTTGCACTTGTGAGTGTTGATCTAAAGGAAACCATTCCCCGATTTGTTGAAATGATTAATGTTTTCTCTTTCCATTTTTTTTTTTTTTTAAGGAAATGGCGAAAATCCTTAACCATCCCCGAGTCTATGCTTTCCTGCACATACCGGTCCAGTCCGCCTCTGACAGTGTACTCATGGAAATGAGAAGAGAGTACTGTGTGGCCGACTTCAAAAGAGTCGTGGATTTTCTGAAAGAGAAGTAAGTCTGTTAGAACTTAAGAAAATAACCATTTCTTTTTTCTTTTAAAAGCATGTGACAAAATGCACTTACTGCAGCCTCACAATTAAAGGTACAAGAGAGAAGGCGAGACTTTGGAAGCTTTCAAAGCCTTTAAGTTTCCTTGGGCCCCTTTGATGTGGGTTTCCTTTCTGCTCAGTTTATATCCACCTTCCATCTGTACATGACACATCATTAATTTGTGTAAGATTGCCAGTCTTTTAAGGTAATGTGAATTGTGATTATTTTTGTACCTGACCTGGTAGATGAAAACTGCCTCATCTGTTTAAATCTCCTTTAATGCAGCTTTTTGAAGTTGCGAGCTGGATTTGACGTAGACGTAGAGGTAGACTAAGTCGTGTCACTACAAAATAGATAATTTTCTACTAAATAGCGTTTTTTTAATGGGTATCTGGAATGTCTTTGCTTTTACATACTCATCTCTGTAGTTTGCTTGAAGAATTGTAATTTATAAGGAGGTCTGAGGATTCTGTTTTTTAAAGTTCAAATTGCTATTGACCAAAATTAAGGCATATTTACACAATCTCAGACATGAATGATGATTTTGTTTCCACAGAAAACACTTGCAACCCATAATTATGTTCTTCAAAATCCTATTTCTCATCATCACCAAACACTGAATGCCTTCTGTGATTATGCAAGGCAGGAAATAGAAGTGGTGGCCAAGGTCATACAAAGCCTTCTCAAGTCCAGGGCACTGTTCTTCCCTCCAGGGATGTTGTCATTTGTCTGGGCATACTTGTGGCCTGAGTCTTCCTACTTTCCATAATTTTTTTCCATAATTCTTCCTTTCTTGTTTTTCTTAATTAAGATACAACTTTTTCCCATCTTGTTTATAATTATGTACCTTTGTACTGTTTTGAAGTACTACATGGGTATGATTGCTTTATACAAATTGTGAGCAATTATTTTTTCCACCTTTAATTAACCATTTATCCTAACTGCATATGATTGTTTTAAAATCTTTTTCTTTTTCCTTCTTCCTTCTTTCTGCATCTTTCTTTTATGTATCTGTCTGTTTGCTTTTCTTTACCTTTAGGTATTTCTTGATTATCCCAACCACTGGGAAGAGAGACACGTAATGTGCATTCAAACAAATACAGCTGATCTTTCAAATGTGCAAATCAGAGACTAGAAGGGGTATTTATTCCAATATTTTATAATCGTGTTTATTAGGTACATATAGCCTTCAAAGTAGAAAAGAATAATAACTGATCTCTGCCATCTCTAATATCTTCATATCTTGAACATAACTGGGCAAGGCTAAAGAGTAAAGCTTTCTGGTGGATGTCTGTTGTTGGCCCACATCCCTTCCTTGCATCTATTTTAACTTACTGCAAGCAAGAAAAGCGAGATCCTTTGAACATGCCTGTGCCACTTAATGGCACATTTTCAAAATTGCTAATAAATTGTTGCACCTGTGAAATTTCTTGCTGCTTTGCTTATTAAATTAGTAGCAAATAATGCACACACTTCATATTGTTACGCAAGATGTTGCCAAGGGTAGAGTGCATCCCGTTGTGTGGAATAGACTAGAACACTTTCCAAATAGTTTTTGCATTAATGTGATTAAATGAGGGTAGGGAGTCAGCACCTCTCTTTTATCTCCATTTGAGTGAGTGCTGACTCATTTGTTTGGGAAATTACTGTGGCTGTTTAACTGGCCAACAGTTTCACAACAAGTTCTAGCCTTTAATGTTGCTCTGAAGATGAACCTGTTAAATCAGTTGTATCTTGAACAGTTTCAACAGCCCCACTGAGCTAGATAAAGGTCAAAAGATGATCACAATAAGGTATCAGAAAATAGTCTCTTTCCTTTATTCATAGGCTAAAGTCGGGGTCCTTTTTTTGGATTATGAGTTACTGTGAAGCATCCAGGTGGCTTTTCTAGAAGTACATAGGTTCAGCTAACGGGAGGATCCTAGCACCCAATACTTTGCTGAGGGATACCCAGTATTTTCAGCAACAGGACTATCAGACATCCCTGGAGAGGATGCTGGAGATGCTTGGGGAAGACATTCCCATCTCACACCCATCCATCCACAGATTCCATTTCAAGTGCTGTGAATCACTAGGATCGTGGAATATGAGGCTAGCCACTTAGCATCTTCAAGAGATTTTAATTGGCACTGTATTTTGTATATGCAGAGAGAGCAGAAGCAGCCTGGGTATATAACTTCAAATTTACATTATAAGCAAGATACAACAGAAAACTGTAGCAGGCAACCAGTATGATAGACCTGTTCTATCAGGCTGATGACAAAGAAAATTTCAGGTACCTTATTTTAAGAAAAGAAGAACTCATGTTATCACTGCTAATCATGTGATCCTTGCCTCATTTTAAACAGTTCATCAGAACCGTAAAATTCTGTATTTCATCCAGAAATGTTGCTTGTGAAGAACAGTACAGCCTTCCTCCTGTGAGGAAGGCTTTGCCCTATGGTGGAAAGGGGGTTTTCCTATCCTCCTGGGTAAGTCTGTCCATGCAGTGAGTAATTCTCAACTATTATGGACGTTTAAAAATAACAGAAATATTTTAAGCAAACTTTTCCTATATTTGGCTTAGTTTTCCCCATAAAAACTAGCATAGCTTTATGCGAAACAGATGAGGGTTTATTTTGGAAACAGCAAAGTTTCAGGGCTTTCCATAGAACTAGTCCGGATAACGAATGTAACACTGATTTTTCTGGTCCAGGCTTTATGAAAGTTCACTACATCTTCATCCTTAGAGGGTCTAACACTATCATGTTGCCCTGATGGCATGTTTGGTGTTTTCTTCTCTTTGCTGTTTAAATCCTGTCTGAGTGTGGTCCTTTTCATCTGCAGCTCGTTCCCCCTGAAGTCTTTGAAGCATTTTTTGTAATGAGCCTTTGACGAGTAAGAGTTTCTCTCTCTCTTTTTTTTTATATCTCTAGCAGTGTGAGCCTTTTCAAATATTCACATTATGAATTAGAGGCAAGGCATTGCCTTGTCTGTTTCCTTTAAAAAAAAAAAAAAAATCCGAACTTTAGCCTTCAGCATTTCAGACTGAAATCCAAACTATGGGAGTTTACCTGAATCTGCGGGCTTTTCAACTTCGAATTCAGTGGTGTTTGTGGAGCCATGTTTCTCAAACAGTGGAGGTGAAATCTCTTTAATTAATTTTCTTTACAGTTGAAAATGGCCCACGTTTTAGCTGGGGGCAATGGAAGTTTACATCTGAGCCAAGTTGAAGCTGATTCATTATTCTCTTCAGTTGTCTGAAAGTTGGCAGCTAGTAACATAACAGCAGCTGGATCAAAGATAACCTAGTAGTGTTGGCACATGTTGAGGCATATGGGAATTTATTAAATCATGCAACCTTTGCAGAGAGGAGTGTGTAAATTACTTAATATTCTAATTTAAAACAGCTGGTCATGAACAGACACTCATATGACTTCCATTATTCTATTCTGACTTATTAATCCAGTTGAACATTAACAAAGCAATTTGATATTTGTATTTAATTGGTGAAGTGATTTTTTCAAAGTGTACAATGGGATTTATAGGACTGGGAAGAAAACTACGTGGAAGACAGCAAGTGGTACAAGTCTGGTTTTAGAAAGAATCTGTAGTTTACATTCTTAAACACCTACCTTATAAATTTTACTACTTTTATTTGTTATCATTTAACTGGTATCTCTGTTATCTTTCTAACTTATTGCTAGATTGAACAAAAGCATAAAAACTGAAATAATTTTTTTTTTAATTTTGGGAAAGTTACTCCCCAATTAAAAGATCTTGTGTGTTGTTATGTTAGGGATGATATAACTAGGGTTGAGGCCTTGGACACTGACTTTAACTGGGCCCGCTGTCATTTGAGCAGCCATGAATTTACAGTCATTCTCCAACATAAACCATATAATAATGTACATCAAAAAGGGACAGCGTGCAGAGTTCTTAAACATATGTTTTAATGCTAAATAAAAGAATCTGCATCCTCAAATTCGCACATTAAAGTGTGAAGGAAACATATAAAAATGTCCTATTGATAGATGTATTTTAAGAAATGAAGCAGTTTATATATTAGAAGGCCTATCTGTTTAGATAAATTATTTTATTAGAAGTTCAGTGGCTTTTGACTTATGTTAAGTAGACCATAACTAGTTAGCATCTCTACCTTCCTCATTCTCTAAATACACTTTAAATGAATTAACTGGACAGTTATGTCTGCCTGCAAGTTGCGTTGCTCTAAAGGCAGTTTCAAATTAGTGTAGCATTTTTGTGTTGATTTTTAATCCTGTGATCTCAGGATTTTCCATCACCGTAATGTACTGAGAACTTCAGGGTTAATGTATTTTGTTGCTTTTAGAACATTAACCCTTTTAGCCTGTGATAGTCATTCCTAACCCCTTAAGTTTGTTATACCAGGTACTGCCCAGTGAAAGGTCCCAAGTAATAAGCAGTGAGCATCCAGGGGGAAGAGGGAGTCTTTTTTTTTTTTTTTTTTTTCGGGGGTTAAGGGGAGGACAAACTAGAGGAGAAGTGGCAGACTTGCAGAGAGTTTTGTCATCGGATCAATCCACTGTGCAGTCCCTCAATGAAGGGACACAAGAGCACAAATCCAGTATCGCTTCAGCAGGATGACTTCTGTGAGTCATTGAATTAACTCATATTGTCCAGCCTATCCTATGATCTGCTTTTCCAGTCTGTCTTCAAAAAAGTGGTGCTAATTTATAACATCCTGAGTTATTTTTCTCTCCCATTAGACCACATGTACTTATTGGAACACAACCTTATAAAAGAAGTTATGTTTAATTTATATTTTATTGTTTTGTATTCGTCTAGTTCTGTTCCTAGTGCTTGAAAACATAGCAGAATATTTGTCAGAATAGCAAAAAGAAATCCTAACAGCCAGAAAGACCCAGAAATGATTCAGTAAGGATTAGGTAATTATGTTTTCTTCCAGATGCATTCCCAGATGTGTTTCTGTTCACCAAATA